AATGGTGAGTGTGAATACCAATGTAAGGGAGTATACGATATGCAGACATGGCATGAAATCTTAGGGCACTGTAATTATGATGATGTTCAGAAACTACAACATGTTGTTGATGGTATGACAATCAAAGGTAAAACAGACATGTCAGCCCTACATTGTGAAGTCTGCACCCAGGGAAAGTTTACCCAAACTAGGAACAGGGAGGCTGATGTAAGGGCAAAAGCACCCTTAGAGCTGGTGCACACGGATGTAGCAGGACCTATAGACCCAGTGTCCAGAGACGGGTATAGGTACGCATTATCATTCACTGATGATTTTTCCAGTGCAGTATTTGTGTACTTTCTGAAAAATAAGAATGACACAGTGCAGGCAACAGAAAAGTTTCTTTCCGACACAGCGCCATATGGCAAGATAAAGTGTATCAGGTCTGACAACGGTACTGAGTTTACGGGGAAACATTACCAAGCACTACTCAGCAGAAATGGCATTAGGCATGAGACCTCAGCCCCATACTCGCCACATCAAAATGGCACTGCTGAACGAAACTGGCGCACACTCTTTGACATGGCCAGGTGTTTGCTATTGGACAGTAAGCTACCAAAAGAGCTGTGGACGTACGCAGTCCAGACAGCTGCTGTATTGAGGAACAGATGTTTTAACAACCGCACAAAGCAGACACCTTACTCACTGATTAAAGGGAAACAACCTAACATGTCCAGAATGCAGAAGTTTGGTTCAGAGTGTTATGCTTACAAACAGGACAAGAGAAAATTGGACGCAAGGTGTGAAAAGGGGGTTTTTGTTGGATACGACAAGAACAGTCCAGCCTATATGGTTTATTTTTCTGACACTGGAAAAGTGCAGAAGCATAGACTGGTGAAGTTTATCAACAAAACAAACACGGAGAAACAGACACAGACTGACATGACACCTGTCAATGATGACTTTGAGCTGCAGCATAGAGTTACCAGTAAAAATACTGATGTGAGTCCAGCCCATACACAAGACCAGGTGCCAGTTCCTATGCTTGAAGTACACAACCACACACAGACACTTGAGCAAAAGAGATACCCTTCAAGAGAGAGGAAGAAACCAGAGTATTTGAGTGAATATGTGTCAGGAGACGAAGAAAGTGATGATCAAGTACTCACTAACATAGACTATTGTTATAGAGTAGCGTCTAACGTTCCTTTAACATTGCGAGAAGCTGTAACCTCACCCCAATCAGAGGAATGGGTTAATGCGATGGATGAGGAGTTACAATCATTAAAAGAAAATGACACATTTACCCTTACAAACTTACCAGAGGACAGGAAAGCAGTGGGGGGTAGATGGGTGTATGCTATTAAAAACAATGCAGATGGGTCAGAAAAGTACAAGGCACGCTATGTTGCCAAGGGATACAGTCAGAGGAAAGGAGTGGATTATGAGGAGACTTTTTCTCCTACTGCCAACCTGACTAGTATCAGAGTCTTGATGCAAAAAGCGGTGCAAGAAGACTTAATCTTACATCAGATGGATGTCAAAACAGCCTACCTGCATGCACCAATAGATGTTGATATCTATATGGAACAGCCAGAAGGTTATGAGGTAAAATCTGGCACAGATACAAAGTTGGTATGCAAGCTGAAAAGGTCCCTGTATGGACTCAAACAATCAGGCAGAAATTGGAACAAGTTACTGCACGAGTATTTGAGTGAAAACAACTTTGTGCAAAATCCTTCTGATCATTGTGTTTACACAAAGGAGACCGAAAAAGAAAAGGTGATCATCTTAATATGGGTTGATGACATAATCATTGGTGCCAGTGATGAAAACGCACTGAAGGTTGTGAAGGAGATGCTCTCATCACGATTTAAAATGAAAGACTTGGGAAAACTCAGACATTTTCTGGGTATTGTTTTTGACCAAAGTGATGGATGTGTTAAGATGTCACAAAAGAGATGTGTGGAAAACATACTAGAAAGGTTTAACATGCAAGACTGTAAACCTAGGACGACACCTTGCGAACAAAAGTTAAACTACACTAATGATGCACAAGTGATGAGTGACGTCAAGAAATACAGAGAGGCTGTTGGAAGCCTGATTTATTTGGCTACATGCACGAGACCCGACCCGAGTTTTGTTGTGAGTAAACTGTCACAGTACTTTACTGAGCCGACAGAAGAGCAGTGGACTACTGTCAAACATGTAATGAGATATCTGAAAGGTACAAGTGAAAAAGAAATGTGCTTCACAAAAACCCCCAATGAAAAACTGCAGCTACACGCCTACAGTGATGCAGATTGGGCAGCCGACACAACTGACAGGCGTAGTACCACAGGGTATTGTGTAAGCCTAAATGAAAATGGACCTTTGATCTCATGGAAAACCAAAAAGCAGCCCACTGTCGCATTGTCGACTTGTGAGGCGGAGTATATGGCGTTAGCGTCTACTACACAAGAAGTATTGTATCTAGTTCAGCTGCTAGACGGCATCGACAGACATCAATACCCAGTGCCTAAAGTGTATGAGGATAACCAAGGCGCAATAGCGTTAGCAAAAAATCCTGTGAACAGACAGAGGTGTAAGCATGTTGACATAAAATATCATTTTGTGAGGTCAACTGTGAGTGATGGGAAGATAAGTTTGAATTTCTGCCCCACAGAAGAGATGGTAGCAGATGTGATGACAAAACCTGTAACACAGTTTAAGTTGACTAAGTTTGCAAAGTTCATGTTTGGAAAACTAACCACGTATGTGAAGTAATGTGCATGATAAAGGCAGAAAGGCCTTAATGTTTTTTTTTGTTTTGTTATTTGTTTGTTAGAGTATGTACCAATGTGAGAGCAAGTGGGGGTGTTAACATATATGAGTATATGCCCTCCATTGTCACAATCTGTTATATTTACTTTTCCTATACAGTATTGTGTGTTAAGCGGTAGCCAATAGGATGCCCCTGAATGGACATGTGACCTAACAGAGGTCAAGTGAACCTGCGTTCAATAAAGACGACTCAGTTCAAGTCAAACAGCCATGATGCTCCACTTGTGTTATTTGTACTGCGATAATATTCGGCCTAGCATTGGGGTATGAACGCCGGGACCGTTGAGCGAACCATCTCTGCTAACACCTACCCATACCGAGGCATAATCGAATGTTTGCTTAATTACGGGAAAGACACCCTGGAGACGCAGTTTAGTACAGCTCTGTTTAGTACACCGCGCAGCATATGGACGAGACGTCTATTAAAGGGGACAACGAGGGGCTGTCCGCGCGAGGAGGACACGCCGTTGAAAGCCGTATAGTGGAGTTAATTGTACCAATACATGCCGATTTGTTTTTTCAAGAGAAGCTGTTGCTTAACGGCGTTGATATTTCCTTGAAATTTATACGGTCAAAAGACGAATTCTCGCTGATGGCGGCTGCAGCGGCTCAATACAAGGTCAAGATAGTCGCCGCTAGTGTATTTGTAAAAAAGGTCTCCGTAGCTCCGACGGTCCGACTGGCGCACAGCAGGGCTCTTCAACACACAAACGCCAAGTATGCCATCGACAGAGTAGCGCTGAAAACATTCTCCATTCCGGCTGGGACCCGAGTCTGCAACCAGGAGAATCTATTCATGGGACAGATCCCTAAGTTTATTGTTTTAGGGTTTGTTGACAACGAAGGATACACGGGTAGTTATACACGGAATCCCTTTAATTTCCAACACTATGACACCGAGTTTTTAAGCATTTACGCTGATGGCCACGCATATCCAGCGAGACCGCTACAGCCACTCTTCCAGAGCGGCCAGTACGTGAGAGAATATTACCACATGATTCAAACAACAGGTCGACATTTAAAAGACAGATCGCTGGCTGTAACACGGAGTGACTTTGGTCACGGTTACTCGCTGTTCTGTTTTAATCTGGAGCCTGACGACGGGCAGTCGGGGAACGTGTCACTAATCAAGACGGGGAATGTGCGCCTGGAGGTCCGCTTCAGAACGGCCCTTCCTCGTACCATAAATATCATATGTTATTCTGTTTTTGACTCCGTTATCGAGATATCAAACCAACGCCAAGTCTTGGTGGATAACTTTTAAACACCATGAACACCATAGAGTTGACGAGTATTGTTCGAAAACGGGTTGTTAGGGGGGTCGATTTTATGGGCGTGTTAGCGTGTGACCAGCTGCCTATGAAGGCTTTGCGCAAGTATCCGGTGATGACTATTGTAAATACGCACCCGTCCAGCAGCCCCGGAGAGCATTGGTTGGCGATTTATATCACAAAATACAAGCATGGCTTTTTCTTTGACAGTTTTGGAAACCCTCCTGATTATGAACAGTTTCCAAAAGAAATAGTTAATTTTCTCAATTATAACTGTACGACTATGTCTTATTCTAGGAAACAGGTTCAAAATAATTTTACTACAACCTGTGGCCAACATTGTGTGTTTTTTCTATGTTATATACAAAAAGGATGGTCTTATTCACGAGTTTTAACTTTGTACGGACCTAATCTAGTCAATAATGATGCGATGGTCTGTCGTTTTGTTAACAAAATCCAACCCTCTGGGTGTTGTGAGGATGCTTTTACGTGTGTGATCTAATGATAAACTATCCTGTGACGTTTTATGAATAAAATATATAAAGACAACTTTCAGCAGTGAACACCAATTTTATTTTCCATCCACAAAGAACACACTAACAGATAATACAAAAAGCATTACAAACACTTGTAGAAAGTTAAAAAATAAAAATAATAATAATAATAAAAAATAAAATAAAAATAATATGCATCCAGTACAAGCTTAAAAATAAAAAAGACAGTGTCACACAGTAATAGCCCAACACATCTTAAAAATCTTCCCACGAATCATCACTCCTAAAAAATTTGGTCTTTAGGGATTTAGGTGTCTTAAAGGGGGTGCTGTCTATAGATCGGCTGGTCCTAGTTTTTGTTTTGAATGACCCCGAAACATTAAAACCCCCGTCATAAACTGCATCACCACCCTTATATTCAGCAATAGACCTCCTAACCTGCGTGTTGGGGATAGCGGATAGGGGAATATTTAAATCAGCTAGCGTTTTTAAAAATATCTTCCAACCGATAGGTCTAGATTCGTCTAAAACATTATACGAGGACGTGACACTTTTCACCAGATCATACAGATGTGTGCCTTTGATCGTTTGATTGTTGACAACGATCTCCCCTCGGTCTGTCCAGGATATGCCGTTTTTTGCGTGGTTCAAAGCATCCAAAATATATTCGGCATGTTTTTTACTTTTTTTAGGTATGTGCCTGATCACATTGCCTAAAATCACATCTTTTCCTGGTACGTCATCTGCTGAAACGACAGGATTTGAGCCCGAGTCACTTTCACCGGAGGGTAGTGGTAAAGCCAACGCCCCCTTCTCACGCTCTCCCTGTCTCAGCACAGCCAAGTATCTTTGTAAAATAACGGAATATTTTTTGGCTTTTTCGTACATGTCTGTATCAGGTTGATTCAACACATCAATCATAGCTCTATCAAGCTCATTTTGCACCGCCTGTCTTATAGACTCTCGTTGATCCTGCTGCTTATAATGAGGCTGCTGCTTTACTATGCCAATCTGATGCGGAGGGACCAGAAACATTTTTTGGGTGTGCTCCATTTTTTACCCCCGCCTATTGACAAGACTAATTATAAACGGAATAGCAGCCCCTAATAACGGTAATAAAAAGCCCCCCGACTGGTTGAGGGTCTTTTTCTTCTTGGTCTGTTTAACTTTTTTATCCGCCACCAGCCGGATAATCTTCTTCTTCTTCTTTAAGAGGGCGAATTGTTTGTCGGTCAAAGGAATGTTACCTCTCAATACATTGAGTGCGATCTCACACAGAGAGTCGATAAAATCCGTGCTGGCGTTATTAACAATGACACGTCGCACACGAGGCGTAGATTTATATATCAACTCCAACAATGACAAATTCCTCTGCATGCGTGATGACATTTTAGCGTTATTAACGCCTGTTTGTTTTTTGGGGGATATACACAACCTGTTGGTCCGATAGCAAAGCCGTTCTGAGTCTTAAATGTTCGGGGGTCAACGCTTTATAATCTATGAGAAGATAGCCATATGATTGTTGGGTCGCATCATTAAAGGCCTCTAAAAAATATTTAGTATTACCCGGAAACATCTGTCTGGCCAGTAGTGTGATTTGATATTTATCCCTAGGGTTTTTAAACAGAATGAGATAGTTGGTATTTAAACTAATAGTACGACTAGATTTACCCTGAATAAATAAATTTTGTACTAAATATATACAACTGAGATTTCTATGATGTACATATTTGGTAAAAACATTTTGAACTTCTATATTATTCCCAGCATCATTCATTAAATCGTCTATAATGAGTAGATTGTTTTTGGCAGGAGGTAGTAAAACATCATCGCACAGAGACTCTGGTAAGCCCTCTACAAAGTTAATGTCTCTTGTTTTAAGCAGTTGATCATATAAAGGCTGCCAGCACGAATAAATGTAGACGACATTGTCAATACGATGTGAAATAACCCTCTCAGCATTTGCAATAATATCCTTGACAAAAAAAGTCTTTCCACAGTTTGAAGGCCCACTCACTACCAAACTAAAGGGGTGTTGTAGTCGTGCATCAAATCCTTGATCGCTGTTAGTATCCATAAGGAAGGGTCGTATAGTCAGACAACACCCTCCGCTTATTGTACACCACTCTGACTTGCTTAAAAACTGTCTCGTTTTTAAGATAGAACTTCTTTTTATCACGCCTGATAGTTTCAGACACTGTGGTCAAAGTGTGTGTGTTGTGATTGGTTACATAAGCCTGTACGAGGCCAATCAGTGACTGGGGGGTGACGACGGAGGCGTTTCTAGCGTTTAATGTGACGCCTTTACATTTGACAGCTGTTTTACCCTGCATTGTGTTATAGGCATAGCATTTGGGTCCTCCTGATACAAACTCTGTGATGTAGTCTTCACTAGGCAGTCCGCATATGTCTCCGCTGTTTAACTCATCAGTCAGGTCACCAAGATATGCCCCCAGGGGCGGCACCCAGTCGCTCCCTCTCGATGTAAAGACAATGCCGTCTGTGTCACAGTACAAGACCCTCTCCTGCAGTTTGTCTAACAAGTCGTAGAGCATCAATCTGGCATGGGCAGTTGTCAGGGCTCCTATAAAGACGTTTACGTCTTTTATACGGGAACCGCGGGCGTCTGCATGTCGCCACTGTACCAAAGCCACGTCATCTGAGATAAAACAGAATTGTCGCACATCAAAGTGGTCACTAAACATCAATTGTGTGAACCGAGCCGGATCTGTGATCAGCTCGCATGCAGGCATATTATTGCGCATACTAAAACGGCCCCACAAAGAGTTTAAGAGGAGTTTGTTGCAGCTTCTCATGGCTTTGTTGACCATGATTTTGTCAGGGTTTAATTGAATGCCTTCCTTTTCAAAATAGTCTTTGACATATTTCTCCTTGTCGTCGGGGGTTTTGACATGGTCAGGGTAGCCTGACGCTTCCTGTTTACACTTCATGAATGTCTTCACATACCCGCTGAACGATGTGTCTGTTTTGTTGGGGAAATGCCAAACTTCATCAATGGACACAAGCCTGTATCCTTTTTCCACAGCCTTCTGCAGTTCAATTGACACCCAGACCCCCGCCAGCAGTCTGTCTCTGTCTCCGTGAGTGCACTCGCCACTCTGATTCAAATCCTCAGCACATTTGCCACACAATGGGAACATGAGTTTGTCATGACATCTGTATGGTAGGACCGGGTGAAACAGCCCTCTGGACATCCCGCAAATTCATAGCAAGTGTTTGTTACAGAGTTATAGCCATCCACATAGAACGGCTCAAAAAGCTGTTCACCGTGATTGAGAGCATGTTTAATCTCGATATTCTCTGTGAGGGCCACATATTCAAGCCATTGCATCGATACATCAGAATACGTCTTATTCTGAGCAGTGTATGCCCCCTTAAACGTTAGAGCAACTGTGTCCTTTGGGAGAAACAGGGTTTTGAACACCCCCATGCAGCTGGATGCTAGGGTGGTAAATGAGAAGGGGTCAAGCTCCGTGCACTCTATGAATGTCTCCCGATAGATGGTGCAGGCTTTTCGCAACACTTCTACATCGTTAACACAGTAGCGTCCGATTTCTTTTTGGAAGTCAAATGTTCCTCCTGAAACGGCATTATACCATTCCATGAATGTCGCTTTATCGCTATCACTCATATCGTCAAAGCCGTAGTAGGACGGATCAGGATATTTACCGACATAATGCTCATGCTCCCGGGTGTTGAACTTGTGGGGAAAATAGCCTTTCTCGACATCACTGAACCCTAGGGCAGCGGGGGTTTTTGACAATCGCATGGGAAGGAAACTGAATGAGTCAATCCATCTCTGCCGGTATGAAATGTCATACATCAGTATTACCCGACTCCCTCTCATGGTGACTTGCGGAGTGATCTTTTGTTTTACAAAATATTCCAACAGAATATAGTTGTCAAAGCCGGATGCGTTGTGGGCGATAAACGTGTAGCCTTTGTATCTCGGTCTTCTGTAATACTTCACAAAGGTGTCCACACAATTCAAAGTACTGAAACAAAACTTTTTTCCCTCTAAATCCATAGCACATACATAATTTGCCTCGTGTTTTCCATTATGAAACCTTGTCTCAAAGTCAAATAATATGTAGGTTGTTTGCGGCTCTTTCTTTTCAAGAGGCTGAATAAAACACTCATGTTTATCATTGCTCTCCAACTGTTGCTCACCACAGTGGGCGCAGACTTTTGGAGCGCATTTGTGCGCTTTTTGTCCTGCTTTGTATGTTTTTCCACATGCCTCACAGTATTTCATAGCATCACAGGGGATGAGGGCATGGACACTTTCTGGCCGCTTGTGCTGATCAAAACAATATTTCGACTTACATATGCGTTTACAATCACCAGATTTCTGTGTTTTACCCAACTGTGTACGACACTCTAATGTAAAACACACATTACACAGCTGTTCACAGCTGTGGTATAATCGATGTTCATAGGCTTGGTAGCAATACCGGCATACTTGTTTTGCCCCAAAAAAGCCTTGCTGGTTTAATGGTTTAATCAGGTGATAATGGTCATTCTCCCGGTTGAAGGTTTTTTACATTTTGGGGGTTTTGGGACAGGATGTTGCATGTTTACAGATTGCAAAGCTGAACAAATCAGGTGATAATGGTCATTGTGTAGATATAACCAGACTGTCCGGGGATGAGGCGCATCGTGGGTTTGGAAACACTGAAGTCGTTTACGACCTGCTGCTGCATCGTGGAAGATTATGATTTTCACACCCAGATGTCTTTCAAAAGCATCTACATCGGAGAATGAGGCCTTGTGCATTGGTCCAAAACCCAACGATCTATGTAGTTGAGTTGCAAATCTCACTTTATCTTGCAGGGACATGTCTGGATGATTAAAATGTGCTAAACAGAGCGAAAAGCACAGGTTATTATCAGTATTGTCAGGGGTGTGCCGAAACCGACCCTTCTTTGATAATATCACATCATATGGGACATTTGCTAATTTTAAATAACCCCCACCGTTTCTATTTTTAGCTACGGTGATCACTAATTCCAATTCATCATCCGTTATAGTCTCATCATTGCTCTGTATCACTTGTGCAATTTGCTCCATAAACAAGTCAGAGTTGTACGACTCGTTTACGCGTAGAACAGCTTGTATGTCACTAGCCAATGAAGGTCCCCGTAACAAAACGTTCAGCACACTACCAGCCGGAGAGGCCTCTACAGCTCTATCAATTACACCCGCCACTCTTTCTCTGACCATGTAGGGGATTTGCTCGAGTTCAGTAAGATCCACGTTTCTGAAATCAACCCTTTGTCTAAGCTCAAATGCATTGAATGAAGGCATCTCTCTCATGGTGACTGTCCTTCCCTCTATGCCTGAGGAGGTCTCACCCCCCCTCATTATCTCCCCTCCTCCTCCTGTTAGTGTATCATCATGCCCCCCTTCTGTTCGGGCCTGCTCCCATGACCCTCCCTCTTGACCCTCAGCAGGCCCCCCAACACCCTGTTCATGCTCCACATCTCCATTTGCCCCCATCTGATTCAGCCGGTCGTCACATATTTCTGCCAACACACACCCCCCAGCCCCTGCATCATTGTCTGTGTACACAAGTGGGCCGTCTGCATGATCCAACACGTGGCTATTTGCGCCGGAGGTATTAAACCCTGGGTCTAGGACACTGACCAAGTCTGCATACTCGCTATCTAGATACGATGAATGTTGTTCTGTATAATGAATTCTGTCAACATCATGAAAAGCTTCTGCAGGGTATGCAGCAGCAGCAGCAGCAGCAGCATCAACGCGCGATCTCTCCACCAGTGCACGAAGGCTTTTAAGCTGTTCCTCTGTATTCTGTAACAGGACCCTATACCCATCATCATTATTATTATGGTTATCCCCTGATCGATGTATATCATCCGTGCCCCTCTTCAAAACTTTTCTGGGGGGAGCCATACTACACGTCTGTATTGTTTATTTAGACACCACCCCTTATAGACACCATGCCTAGTAGATTACCTTGGATATAATTTATTTGTAAGTAGAGCTATGATAGCTTCACTGGATGCATTCTGAGCTATCAGGTATTGTTTTATGGAGCTGCCCTTGGCGTCCTGTGTTTGTCTAGCCTCCTCTTGTTTCTTACATAGATCGGTTACTATCTCTTTTAATGCGGTGTTGGAACGCCGCAGTTCACTGATTTCATTTATCAACTCTACATATAAGGGGTTAGCGGTGTCCCTCGGGTGCACAATCACCACCGTGGGTTCTGTGGGTATACCTGCTCTGTTTTGTTGAAATGGGGTTACACACTCTGCCGATGTTGCTCCTATTGCAGTACTCTCTTCTTCATAGTCACAGACCGCCTGCAGCATTTCCTCGTCAGTCAAACATTCTGGATAGTACCATGTGTCCTTTGTTGGTGTTGACAGGTCAAGCTGCTCCCTACTGTACAAGCATACACGGTTTAACAACAATAATCACTAAAATACATAAAAAATATTTGATATTGTTCCAGTTACCTGCAACCCCTGTTTGACAGCGACGGTCAGCCGACTTTTCCCGAGATGTCGACTCTTTCAAGAGAATTATAAAATCATCTGAATGATTCGTCAAATAATAAATATATAGAAAGCTTATATCATACTGTCATTTTCCCTACCTGTGCCAGCTCCCTGGTTGGGGCACGTAGTCGTTGTTGGTAGACAATTGAGTGCAGCAATCTCCTTTTTCAGTTTTTCAAGACTCCCATGTATACGATGCGAGTTGTCATCTATTTCTAAAAGGTGTAAATACCTATTAAAAATATATACAAATATATATAAAAACAAATATGAATCACTCGACATAGTACAATCTTTAAAGCTTTTCATTTTTATTTTTATTTTTTAATTTATACCACTGTATGTGTGTATATATATATATATATATATATATATATATATATATATATATATATATATATATATATATATATATGGAAATGTCTTAAATGTGAGGATGCACCAGTCTGCCAGGGTGTCAAGAAGTGAACCGTGGCTGTATCTATATAGTAAGGATCCTGTTTTTCACACACCAGGGTCTCAGTGGGGGTGGGGGTTCATATGTTGATTAAAACTAAACAAACTGCTCACTGTTTACCACATAAGGACTCTGTTTTTCTCCATCCCTGTGGGGCTCTCAAGCTATTTAGGGTTTAGCACCGTTTGGGTGCTGCGTACATTATGCGACCCTAAGTCGACACGCTTGTTCCTTGTTAAAACTGTATGTTTTCCTGAGGGTTTTTCCTCTGTTAGGTTACAAAATGTTTTCTGTTGGCTAAGAAGAAGATAGCCCTCCTAATTCATGCATTAAGCTGTTATTGGTGAATCTGAACAGAAGCGCCAGTGTCTCACTGTTTTGTGGAGGGGCCTCTCATACCATTGAAGAGAAGCAGAAGAAGACGTTTGGGGGTTGGCCCCGGCTTGTGTACTGTGTCACATAATGCTGCACTAAGTCGGCATATGTGTTCCTCGTTAAACCTTAAGATGTATGTTTTGCTGAGGGCTTTCCTCTGTTAGGTTACAAATTGTGTTCTGTTGGCTAAGAAGATAGCCCCCTAGTTCATGCTTTAAGCTGATATTGGTGAATCTGAACAGAAGCACCAATGTCTCACTGGTTTGTGGCGGGGCCTCTCATACCTTTGAATAGAAGAAGAAGAAGACGCCACTGGGACCACACTGGGATAGGCCTCTGCTGTTTCACTAAGAATCCTGGAGCGTGAACCAGTCCAAAAGGAAAGTTCGATCGAGGCGCCAAATAACACCTCTATATATATATGATGAAACCCCTCCTACAGTCCCGTGTTTCCGGTCAAAACTAACGCCCATCGCATAAAACACCCCCTGAAATGGCAAATTTCCAATCAAAACAACGCACATCATCGTCAAAAATGGTTTACGTTTCCATTCGTAAAATGACGCATTTCCGGGCATGACTTCAAAATGGCGGCGGTCACATGCCCACCCCACACCCCTCCTACCCCCAAAAGTTCCCTCTTGCACGTGTCTGAGGTCAAAGGTCACATGCCAACCCCCCACCCCTCCTGCCCCCCAAAAGTAGGTCTTTATTACTACTAACGCAACTTTAAATGTAAAAACTACTGCAGGAGGCGCTTGCCTTTGTCACTGCGAGCCCATCCAGTCTCGTTTTTATTATTTAACCATGACTTATTTTAATAATAAGAACCTTGAATAATTTGCTCAATAATGTTGTGGACATGCACGGCAGCTTTACTAAAATACAATAATACAATTTTTATTGTGTGGCATCAGTTTCATCGATTACACTCAGAAGAGACAGAACTTCCCAAACAAAATTTGCTCATATTATGTTTGTAATCAATTAAAGGGGAATAAGTAGACTGATATTCCCTGCTCTGTCTATAGGCAGTAGACAGTAAAGGCAGTAGAGTTAATTAAAATGACTCACATGTAATCAACATAATCACACGTTGCTCCCAGCTGCTCCGCCCGTTTACACTGAAGCAAACCGAAGCAAACCATAACAGCCCAATTTAAAGCAATTTTAAATGTTTCTCAACAAAGTTGTCACAATATTCTCATATTGATACATACTTTACATACTACATGGAAAAATAGTTCCATTATTGCTGATTTACTTAATTGTTTTCCCGTTTCACGGTAGACATTTTAACAAGGCTCTTTGCACATCAGATTTTGGGCCTTGGTTTTGCCGCTAGAGAGCAATTCCTTTGTTTAATTTGCATCATGTAAAGAGTGGGCAATCTGCTTTGTGTCTCTGTACAGGTGCCTGGTGGTGCCACATATATACCCCCCCCCCCCTCCCCTCACCCACGCAGAAAACATACACAGAAAAACACACATCCACTAACAAACTGTTATCCCACCAATAAAACGTTCATGAAGACCAGTGGACAACAAAACCACTCACAGTCAGCAATAAGTCGGATCAGATTTGCAGGGGAATATCTCCCCAAACCCACTGCTGATTTCAATAAGCAACTCAGCTGTGATTTATGGACTTAATCCCCCGGCAGGCAGCGCGTACAGCCGGCTCTAATGAAACACACTGGTTTGGATGTGATCTGAAGGGTTCAGATAACCGCGCCAAAGAACATATGGATTGTTGAGCTCCTCTCCAACATTCCTGAACAATCTGGACGGGACATTGAGCGTTTCAGCACCAGCGAGGACTTCACCGGTTGCACTTCAGCTGCTTTTTCCCAGCATAAGCATCCCATCTGCCCTCTTGAAAAAACAGGAGGAGCCCTCTTGCACACTGGTCACCTTTTGTAACTTCATCGATTATGGAATATTTGTCATATCGCCTGCAGAGGATTACATGATATCACTCTGGTGGTTTGTTGTACCAAAGCATGACTTTGTAACTGCATTGCGTCTTATTGCAACTCTCCAATAACTCTGATGGTGACTGATTCCCTAAAAAAAAAAAAAACATCCTGTCCCACCAACCCATGGGCAAAAGAAGACGTTTGGATTACTTATTGGGAGATCATCTGAGGATATGCCGAGGCCCCCCCACGGGACCCTGAAGGGACGCTGCTTTAAGTTACACAGCCTACCGCAGAGCTTAAGTGATTAGCCGCCATTAGAGCATTTTGTAAACGCGGACAGGAGGGGGGAGGAGGATTACAGCGGTAGTGATGCCACGAGCCGTTGTATTCCAGACAACGTTCATCATGCTATCAGCTTCCGTATTATGAGCACTGGCCCTACATGGCCATGAGCTGCAACATCTTCTGTCCCTTTTGTATTTTCAGAGTACCAAAATGCCAATGGAGGGCATGCGGTTGTATGTACGGGGCACAGTGGCTGGCTGGCGCTGCAGGTTTGTTCAATACCTTGTGGTTAGGCTTCAAAAATGATCCATCCAAATAACACTTATGCTTCAGCGAGTTTGCCCATTCTTTTTTTTTCTTTCTTCTTTTTCTGCAGACTCCAGCAGGTGTCACTCTAACCTGTGATCAGCAACCGCCAACCAACCCGGGCCGGGCCTGTCTGGGAATGGAAGAGGTGGGGTTAGTCAATCAGTCACCGCTCTGCCTCCGCCGTGGTTGAGTTCACGAGGGGTTCAACTCTACGCGGCAGAGCGGCGTGAAGCGTGGAGCACTGCTGAACCCAGGGCCTCAGGGGGGGAGGAAATGCTAAATAAAAACGCCCCTGCCTCTGATTTTTGTGTCAGCATTCAAGCCAACCCAAGATAACGATCATTAATTCATTACTTGGTGGCGTTTGCCGTGTAAACATCCCTTATGTTAAAACAAGCCATGCTTTTAGATTTCCCAGGGTACGCACGGCTTGCGTTGTTAAGAATGATAGAAACAGTATAGTGCACAGGCCGACAGCACTAGAGAGACCACTGACAGACTGTGTAACAAGGACACAACCTTTAGTTTGTTTGCTGAGGAGTGAAGGTGAAGTGGGGGCGTAATTTTCTATTTGTCTCTGGACTTCAGCTTCCCTGAACCGTGTCATAATCTTGGGGGCGAAGCTGCTTTCATGAGCAGTAATTTCATGCAGCACATACGGCTCATATGCACATCTCCAGTGTTCTACAGCGTGTCACTCTTCATTTATATTGTAGCAGGTTATATAAACTCCTCAGCAGCTGCAGCTTGACAAACAGACAGGGATTTACATGTTCTGGACAACTGTTTCTCTTTCTATGCGTATATATGTCTGTCTGAGCACGCAATGTGTGCCCGTGTGTATCTGCACACATCATAACAGTGCAAAGGGGAAATAAAAATGCTCCTTCAGCAGTGGCATAAGTTGGATAAAAAAACACTCACTCTGCACACTCTGCTCCATCAGAAGTGGTTAATGTTTGTCCCAAAATAGAGGAGCTGAAACCTGGCGGGTGTCTTTAAGGTAAACCATACACAGCAGGCACTCTGCCGAGGATACGGTTTAATGCAGCACTCAACCGTGCTCACAGAAAAGAAAGATCATAGGAGGGGTTGCCTTTTTTTTTTAGTCGTGTGATCAATTTGCAATGCCTGGTTGGATGAGAATTAAAGTAGAAAGATCGTTCACTTTGTGAAAAAAAAAACTTGTAAAGACTAAACATCAACTTTAGTCCTAAAACCCTAAATAATTCCACTTTGTCCTACATTTGAAACCCCTGTTATGAATGCAGGTTCAATTTTATTTGCAAGGGTCACAGCCAGATAGGTAAAATAGGGTTGAACAAACACGGAGTGTGCACAGCGAATACATATTGTGCGCTCAGGCCCACGAGCACCACAGATGGCATTTTGTTGTCTGCATCTTTTTTTGGTGGCCCGTGTTTAATTGGCTGGGCTCTAAGGGGACAGTGACGTTATGTTCCTTAGGACCCATCTCACTGCAGTAATGTGTTTAAGTGTGCTATATCTGACATTCAGAGCTTAATGGATTAATCCAGCAATTATATTTTGTCCTTTCATAAAATTTGAGTGCCTGGGAGAAACTTTTTTTTTAAGGGCAGAGGCAGAGACACACAGACTCCCATGTTGGATCCTACAATTCCCATGATGCAACACAAACATGTCGCAGATTAGATTTCCCTGTCGTTGAATGCCTTCATCTTTCAATGTTCTCAAGTTCCTCTAATTGTGAAGCAGCGGTGTCCTGCGACACAGGCAAAGGCCGCCAAATAGCTCAAGGAGTCTTCTGTGCCGGCTGCACACCATCCCGTGTCAGAACAGATAGAATCATCCAAAACTCAGCAGGGTCACTAGTGAGTAAAAATACCCGGCATGTCTCTGTAATGACATAGGTACTAATTATATTGGTCTGGTACGTTCCGTATCTTTAGCAGTTAATACAATATTCAATTAAAACTATTGCACTGATTGTGCAGCTTATTATTTTATTTTTTTGGTGAATGGTGAAAGAGATACCGGATAAAAATTAAAGAGATTATCTATGGGTGGAGAACAAGTTAGGGCCTTGTTGTAAAAAATTGACTCAATTGTGACTTTATTGCTACAATAAAGTGATTCATTTCTAACTTTTATTGACCTTAGGTTGATAGAAATCCTCAAATATTCAGTGTTTGTGCTAAGTCACTCTCCCACTGCTTATTAATCATTAATCCACCGGATTTGTTGTTAACTGGTAGTATCCACATGCATCAAATTTACCTGCTGGTCATACTGGGACTTCTGGCCTGTGACTCTTATTTGTTCTAAGCAGTGACCTTGGGGAAAGGGAGACGCATTAATCCAAGATAATTGCTGCCGACCATCTGTCAGTCCGTCAGTCTGTTTTGTTGACCACATCATAATCTTTTATTCTGTCACACACTGTCTTTAACGGCCCTGATCTGAATGATTTGTAACATTTTCTTCTATTTCTAGGTTTTTAAATGTGCTTTATTGAGGAGAGAGAGACCAGCGGTGTTTGAATACTTTTATTCCACACACACATATTTCTTGCTATACTGGCAAATACTGGCACCTGCTTTTTCCCTGCTGCAAAGCCAGCAATCATGAAGCCAAAGTTAGTTTTCTTCCATATTGCCCAAAACCACAGTACAACCGTGCACAACGTGTTGGTTTGTTCATGATTTAAGAGTCAATGCAGTTTAAATGTGAGGCAATTCAAATATATACAGTGAGAACAATGTGTCCATAGATGATTTAGAAAATACTGTGGAAACTGTACCACACTGTTAGAATTAATCAAGGACCTAAACATATTGTTCTGTATTTGTTTCTGTATCTTCTCAATCTTGAATAGACCATGTTGTTTTAATTTTGTTGTTACATGCGCAGTTTATACTCTCAGTACGTTCACTACAACACGGCACACGCTTGGCCCCTTTAGGAACATGCTCATGGCTTTGGTTGAGGAATTAGCATGAATAAACAATGCACTGCTGATGGGAGCATTGCATTACTTTAGTGCTTTACGGCCAAACAAATTCAGACCTGCGCACCCTGTGGGCCTCAGAGACCTGATTTTATGTCCTGTCCTGCAGTTACACCACCACTCAAACATGCCGTGGTCAGCTGATATGTGTGCAGACTGAAGGCCCTGTGACATACATAAACTGAGTGAGTAATTGCACACCTCGTCGTAAAGCCGGTTGGCTTTAATATGCCCATCATCTGCTGAAGAGCGTCTCTGATTGGTTATTCACATCGAGACAATACCACTTTTTGATTAATTGTATGTTTGTTCTGTCCTAAAGCGGCACAAAACCTTTGCACAGTGACATACAGCTTCCAAATTAAGCTTCTGCCAAGTGCACTTTGCTTATGGGGTGATGCAGCTCTTCCCTAATGCTCTGCCATATTAACCCCCCGCCCCTCCCCCATGCGTCAAAATCGACACGTTTAAATGAGAGGTTTTGTGTCGATATTGCTGTGAGGGCTTTTTGGGGGGTTGCTGGTAAATGACAGATTACTCACATTTGTGTGAGCCTGTGTAATCCGATTGTGCTCCACTTCATTCTGTGCAAACCTCATGTCGTCATAGCCTACTGTAGGAGCGCTTCAGTCTGGCGCAGGCACGACGAAACGCCCGCAGAATCATCCGACGCACTTTGCACGGGCCGCGTTAAGAGTCGCATCAACTCCAGATAACTGTATCATGTAACAATCAATAGCCGGTTTACTCATAGTATTATTATTTGTATCATTGTTGTTGTTGTTGTTATTATTATTAATATTTTGTATTAGTAATAGTAGTACTACTAGTTAGTAGGTTAATACGTTATCTTTTTGAATATATGGTGTGCATCCAACTCAAACTTTCACATTCAAAAGGAGGAAGGAGAAGAAAAAATCCTAAAAATAGCTTAATTACGGCAAAAGTGGTAATAGAGACGTATTGGTTAATTCGTGTTTTATAATAATAGTAACGCAATTGCTGTTTTCTTATCTATTTTTTTTAATCAATTTTGAATCATCTTTTATTTCATTCTGATATTCCGTTTTCTGATCAGGCATTGACTCAAATGCTTTTTATGTTTTATATATTTGCTTCCATCGTATATTTTTATGTATCACCACCAGCATCATTTTGTTTCTGTGAGGCGGGTCGCGGTGCTCGCGTGCGATCCCCGTCGCCTCCATCGACTCGCTCTGCGCTCGACTCGCTCACTGTACAGCAGAAAACTCGCTGCGCTCCGAACGGCTGCAACTTTTGCAGAGACTCCTCGCTCCACAGACAATGTCGCACGATAGCTGAAGTGAACCCGTCCGCCGCGGCTCGTCGCCCGAGCCTCCAGATAAAGAAAAAAGGAAGAAAACAACAACAAAAAGCCTCGCAGGCTGGCTGGGACACCGGATCGCACAGCCGTCTCTTCCGTCGCTCCCCTCTGCGCATCGGAACCTGCGTTTGGAGGAGAAGAAGAAGAAGAAGAGAAAAAACAACACGCCTGGATATGAATGATGAGCCTTTCCCTCACTAATGAACTGGGCCGGTAAATGCAGGAGACCGCGGCGACTCTCTCGTCACTGTTTCAAGATGGCAGATTTTCATTGAGTTTTGAGAAGAAATCTCGCTTTATATTTTTGCCATGAATAACAGGAACCCTTGCACCGATGGCCCCTGTATACGAAGGTAAGATGCTTCTGAAAATGGGCTGTTTTTCGCCCCCCCCCCCTCCTCTCCTCTCTGTCACTGAGACCTATTGAGAATGAATTGTGATACGACTGAATTGCGGCTGACCGGGAGAGAGAGAGAGAGAGAGAGAGAGAGAGAGAGAGAGAGAGAGAGAGAGAGAGAGAGAGAGAGAGAGAGAGACGCGTCGCCGCTTCCCCACCAACATTACGCGCAGTCTGCAGCTTGTTTTGCGTCGCGTTTATCTGTCGGACAAGCGCGCTGTCAAACGTCCCCGCGGCGCGCAGTGGAGTCCTTTCTCGCACCCGGTACGGCGGCACGGCCCCGATCCCGAGAGTGTAAAAGGTCCGGGACGCAAAGTGCGCGCGTCGCGCTGGTTCCCGGTGCGGACGATCGCCGGCGCGTTGAGAGGAGACGGGATGAAAGGAAAAAAAGGTCGAGAGACCCGATCGGGAGCGAGTCTCGCCTCCGTTCACCCTCGTTCCGTCCCGGTTATCCATCGCGTCCGTCTTTACGTCGTTCACCGCCTGCTGTGAATTAATCCAAAATGTTGTTGTTCTATGAGTTTTATTTATTTTTATTTTTTAAATAGGACGTATAATCGCCACCGCTGCAGTATTTCAGCGGTGACTAATCCAATTGAGAGAAGGCTCGCGCACGCGTCTCTAACGTGTTTAGAGAAGAAGAAGAAAAAAAGAAAAAGAAAAAAAAAAAAAAATATATATATATATATATATATATATATATATATATATATATATATATATTTAATCTACGAGAGTCATTCAGATAACCGACGTGTTGGCTTTGCGATGCCGTTGCAGAGTCCGTAGTGCGTTACGGACGTTAAACAGTGCGACATTGCAGTGCAACTGCAAACAGGACCAATGAATTAAACTCTGCGACGAAGAGCAGATCAAACAATTCCACGTGATGTTATCTGAGATTTTGCTTCAATCCCTGTGTGATGCACTTAGTTACGGCAGCTTGCAGTCATACATTAAGGCGGATCACCTTTAACAGCATCTCCAACGGAAGCACAGGTTCACATGCTAATCGGACGCTCCTGCTAATTGACAGCACAAAGCAAGCGACGAGCCACGCTGGTTTCCAATATTTATGCCCCAATAGCTTCGAGTTTTGATGTGTACTCTATAGTCCATCTGCTGGAGTTACAGGAAACGCCTCCTCCCTTATTGAGAATAAGAACTGTTGAAAACACGGTGAAAAGTGAAGGTATGGAAACATCTCAGTGAAAGGAGGGTTTCTAATATGGATGTTAGTTTATATAATAGGCTGCTTTAGAAGACACACTGCTTGAACAACTATAAGCCACAACCCCCCCCCCCCCCCCCCAAAGTCACGTCACTACAATAATGTAGAGGTTTTTCCTCGGGAGGGGGGGGGGGGTGTGGAAGTTCACAGGCGTAGCCCGAGACGAAGGCTCTTCAACATGAAAGGGAAAAGTTGAAATTAGACTCCTATGCAAAAGGTAATTATTGTAAATTACCTTCCCCAGCTTTCCCCCCTTTGCCACGGAGAGCAGGAGAAACAGGGGGGAATTAATTACCTTGCCTGTCCTCCTCAGTGTTGGAGGGGCCTGTCATGTAGAGCAACAGGGGGGAGAATAGGTTTCAGGGGGAGGGGGGGCCTTCACTTAGGCTGAAGGCTGGCGCACGCTTCTGCCTCTGCATCTGCGTCGTTGCGTCGACGCACTCGTTTCAATTCATGGTTCAAAAAGTCCTGCGTGTGTTGCAGAGCAATTCACCGCCAGGACAACAGGCGGAGTAACGTGTTTTTGTTGAAGACGACCTAGAGAGTCACGTCTATTTATTTATTTATCATAGACTTTATTGCCCCGTGCATCGACATTGCTGCTTTTCATCAAGGACACATTTGTCCCGTATTTTCCTCCACAACTTTGTGCACCTCTCGACCGGCAAACCGGCCTTTGCGGCGATCTCCCTCCATGAATCCAACCCACGTCTACAACCCGGCAATGACGGCTTGTATAAGCGCTCATATTTACGGATTTCTTCTGCCAAAAGTTCTTCAATCTGATCCGTTCTCTCGTAAACATTCTTCGTGTTAATAATGACGGTATCGGGCTATGAAAGCGGAAATGTGAGACTCCGTAAAGGACGTAGTTAGCGGACCAATCGCAGCCTGGTGCGCTGCGGGAGGCTTGTGTCCCTTTCGACGCAAGCCTAGAAAAATGTCTCGACACACGCAAGGACGCTAGGAGGTGTGAAAAGCGACGCAAGGGAACACGCAGAAGCATAAATCAGGCTTAAGACAAGGCAACTAACTTTGATATGAGCTCCGACAGTTTTAACTCGAGCTTTGCAGTAGACAGTTGCTTAAAACCCAACTTCACGCACGCAGTCATTTATTTGAACTAATTTCTTTCAACGCAGTGGAGATTTTCAGGAATGTTTACGAAGCTTCTGGTGATCACTTTTTTTTACGTGTTTGCCTTTGGTCCGTCTTGGCCCAGACAAGGGGGGGGGCTATGAGGCGGGGAGCCCGGTCTCATAACCCAAACTGACACCTTGATGGATGTCCGATGTACCGAGCAGGTCCAGCAGCCCCCCAGCTGTGGAAAAAGCAAATATCCACACACCGCCAAAAAACCCCGCCTGCCCTCCCTCCTCCTGGCTATAGATGTTGTGGTCGCGCTCATGCCCGCGCGAGCGTTTGCCTACAGACGCGTCCGCACACATGTGGCTTTCGCCCATTTGTACGGCCGGCCTGCAGAGAGGGGATTAGACAGCTGCGAGGCGCCGGGCCACCAGGCAAGCGAGGCAGCCTCCCTTTGCGGATCTGCCTCTCACAGGTCAACCAGTACTATTTCAGGGAGGGTTTATTCATTCACGCCAGGGGGAGATGGACACAGACTCAGAGGCTCGCCGCTGAGGACGAGGACGATAGCGGGGACAGGCCAGATCAACGCTTCGCCCATTTGTTAATAACCCCATGGTTTCCAGGTTTGGACCCGCTTGATTGATATCTTCCTCACAGGCTACGACCCAGACCTAAGCTCCGGGGTTTGTAGAATTGCAGGAAGAACCCTGGGGGCCTTTGGGGGGGGGGCCGCGCCCCGGTGGCAGAGTCCAGGGAACCGAGGGTGGGGGGGAGTCTCTCTTCCTGGCTGTTATGACAAGCGGGGAGTTGTGTTTAGCTCTTCACTGTCGTACAGCGGGGAGAGACAGAGGCCTTGGGAGGGAGGTTATCTAAACAGTTGAAAAGAGACGGGGCGATTTTTTAAATAGCTAATAACTCGTCGCTCAAATCCTGGGCCGCTGGCGTAAATCTCCTTAGGGTGCCATTGAAAGTGTTTATCTCTTGTCGTTTCCTGTCGCTCGGTGGCCGTTTTGACCTGTTTCGCCGACCCGACGGTGTCACCGCGTGACTTGTTTGCTCAGAAAGGGTTATGAAAAGGGATAAGCCGTCTTCGGTAGTGCCGCTTTTGCATTATTCAAAACCTCCGAAAAGGGAAAGGCAAAGGGAAGAGAGGGAGGGCGCGTCACGTCACCCTGAACTGAAATGACAGGTTGGTAGAGGCCAGTCTGACAAAGGAGGCCCAGCCCTGAATACGAGAGCACAATAGTATTTCAGCAGTCTTCTCTCTGGTCAATTTCTCTGGAGTGAAACTGCCTTTACACCATTCCACCGGCTCTTTTTCCCCTCTCGCTTTCTTTCTTTAGCTTGGATCAAATTCAACTGAGATGCAACGGGGACTTTGTCCAATTCTTCTCGTTTTCTTTTCAGTCAGTGAGCCTCCCGTTCTAGTGCTTCTGCCACGCGTTTTCGGGACGTCTCTTCCGAGAAACCGCCACCCCCCCCCCCGAAAGTCGTTGTCTGCGCCGTCCCTCGAGGCGGGAGACTGCCGACACGAGTTTCCTTTTTTCGACGGAGGAGGCTTTTTGGGGATGGAACCTCAACCGCCGTCGGCCGCTTACACGAGGCGTATCCGCGCCGGTTGTCGTGCATCATGTGTGAAGGCCCCTTTCTTCTCCCCTCGCCGTCGTTTCACACGCCGTGCGTGGTTTGTCGGCTTTGTGTGGAACAGCTGCCCCTGGCTCTGACTAAGCGGTGCAACAACTCCGAGCCCTGTTAAGTAAGGAAGCGGCGGCGGGCATGAGTTGAGTTGCAAATATGTGATAGCCGCGTTTAAAGTGATTTAAAGCGCCCAACCAGCTGAACCGGTGAGGGTTGGCCTTTAGTTTGAAGGTCGGCGGTTCGATCTCTGGCTCCGAAGCCAACGTTGCTGGCCAGGCGCTTCTCAGCAGTCCCCAGCTGCTTGGGGTGCTTAGGAAGGGTTTAATGCACAGGCACAATTTCATTGACATGATGGTTTAAGGTTTTTGATTTATGCATTGTGGAAACCTTGGTCTCGGTGGGTTGCAGCATTACCGAAATCTACGTCCAACTTCTCGTATTTGAGGATCAGCGGAAGAGACGAAAAATAGACAAAATGACCCTCTTAAATCTAGATAACCTCCTCTTGCTAAAAGTAATGTAATGAGCGCTCCGGAGGGAGGATGAGAGCGTCTCTGCGCCTCATGACGCATCCATCGCTTTGATCTGAGCCACGGTTCAAACAATGGTTCACTTTTACTGCTTCGCAACATACTACCGAGTGAATGAAGCCTTTTGTTAACCTTGGGCCTGCTAAGCCATAATTACACCAGGATTCCTTTAGCATAAAGGACACTTTATGTGCTGAGGGTGTCACTTTTTTTTTGTCACGCTGCGTGAGTTATTCTGATCTGCATTTTTTAGCTCGCATGCCACGGATCGCTTGCTCACTTTGCAATCATCCTTCGCCAATGATCCCCCCCCCCCCCTCCGGTTCCCACCCCCACCCACCACACCGCGTTTCCCCGCCCCGCCCCTAACAACCACCTCTTATCTGTCCTTCCATCCCGCTCTGTTTGTTGATAAGCCGAGAGGCCATTGGCCAGCGCACATGGTGCCCATGTGACACTTCAGCGACA